GTGCCGTTGTGGGTGAGGAGGTGCCAGCAGTGTTATCTCCCAGGGGACTGTGCCTTGTGCCGCTCCAGCCGCTGCGGCAGGTGCCACGTTCCAGCCAGGGAGGTTTGTGTTCCTGAGATAAGAGATGTGTCGTCACAGAAAGATTCCTGAAGTGTCTCATATCCCTGGGCAGGTGATTAGGAGGCTGTTGACATCAGTACTATTATCAGCACTAATTGTACCCAAATGGCTGCGCACACAAGACCCAAATATTTCAGTGACTCTCTTGCTCTGCCCTACTGAAGCTTTGCAATTAAACAACTGTACCCAAGAGACTTACACCAACCAAATCCTTCCTCACTTAAATGGGTCTGACCTTCCACCCTCGGGGCCTTATGGAAATAACCTGGATCACACACAGCAATGTGATTGAATTGGCAAGGAAATAACCACTGTGATCCAAGTTGGACTTTCTCCTCCACCTACAAAGTTTTGTTCTGCTGGTGCTGAAAAGTCTTTTTTCTCTCTGTAGCCATGAAGAGAGAAAGGAGTACTCAGGACACACAGTCTGGTGTGTTTAGGGAATAAGGAGATGACACCTTCAGCACTGCTGAGCTCACATTGGTTTAGTCCCAGGTCGAGCAGCCAGGGTTGCTTTGGACAGCTATGCTCAGTTTATCTCATGTATAGTCTGACAGGACAGACATCACTTTCCTGAGCATCACCCAGGATTTCTTCAGTGTCTGAGAGCAACAATCTCCTCCCTTCTGGCACCCAAAATCGTTTCCTTATTGTGTTGGGACCAACAACCAACCCAGAGAGTAGCTCTCATTATTACTATCCCTTCAGGATGGAAAACAAAAAAGGGGTTACATTTGTACTCATCAGGTCCCTGAGTTGTATTTTTGTTTGTGATAAAGATCAAAAACTGAAATATTTTCCTGGACATGTGGTTTTGTCCTCAGAGAGGGCAGCAGGCTGAGGGTTCAGCTCTCAGGTGGGTATTGGCTGAGGATGAGGCTCTTCCTGTCACCTTCAGTTGTTCCAGGGTAGATTCACTCCAATTGCCTCAATTATTTTTAGTGAATGGAGGTAAACTGTCCATCCAGGAGACAGGGAAGCTTAGGGCTGTATCAAACCCCATTCAGACAGTAATATTAGCAGGAGAAAGGGCAGCAGTATGAGGAGAAATGAGCTGAGCTGCAGTGGAAGGTGGTCCCAGACTCAGAATCGTGGCAGAAATCAGGTTGGAAGGGACCTCTGGAGGTCCCTCCTGCTGCCATCTGCTTAAAGCAAGGCCATCTTCACTGGTGAAGGAGGTTGTTCAGGGTCTCTTCAAGCTGAATTTGAAGATCTCCAAGGATGGAGATCCCTCAGCCTCGCTGGATCCCTGTTCCAGTGTTTTGCTGTCCCACTGTGGATTTTTTCTGTTAAACCAAGTGCCTCTTGTCTCCTTTGGTTTACAGCTCCACCAACAGCCCTGCTCTGCCCCTTTTTCAGCTCCCCACTGGTGGGATGTGGTGCCTCTCTTGGTCAGGTTAAACACACTCAGCTTCAGGCAGAACTGGTTTGTCCTCTCCCATTTCCACCCCACCAGTACCTCCAGCTCCACATCCCACCTTTGTGTTTGCAGGGCTGGCTCTGTGTGTTCCCCACCCCACCCACCCCCCTGATCCCTGCCCTGGCTGCTCCTGCCCAGGTGGCTCCATGGCATCAAGCTGAGTGGAATCTAGAGTTTTATACAGTGTTTTAGAGTCATCTTCATCTGTCACCTCCCTCTGCTCTCTGAGTGATTGCACTCTTGACACAAAAAGTGTCTTGGACAAGTGTTCAAAATGAGCCCAAACCACTGTGGGCCAGTAAATAATGGTGCTAATACAATCTGTGTGATTGAAAAATGACTCTTTGTGTTGCTGTACAGCAGATGCCATTAAATGGTCATCTGATGCTTAATATATCTTGGAGATATGTACCAAGGGCTCAGTTCTGCCAACGTGCTGTCTTCAGAAAATGTGTTGTCTCCAACAGGATCGTGATGCCAAACGGACAGAGCTCTTTAGCTTCCCAAATATTCTCCAGTCAGCAGGGACTGGAATGCAATGGGGAGGTGCTGGGCTGGAATCCTGTAGGATAGAATGCATCAGGATTACTGGGTGAATGGATCCTCTCCTCAGGAGGGGACTGTGCAGTGTCACACAGGGTGGGAACCTCAGGCCTCAGCTCCAGGTCCTCGTTCTGCCACTCGTGTTCTCTACAACCTTGGACACAGAACCAAAATTCCCAACATGTCCTGTGAGCTGGTGGCCAGTCTGAGATACCTTGAGTATGACCATCCATGGGGAGCACCTGTGCCAGCCCATGGGAATTCAGCAGCTTTTGGAGAACACCAAATGCCAGCTCTTTTTTTCTCAGTGAGGATTTAGGAGCAAACAAAAGGAGTCTTGACTTGGGACAAGGCTCAGTATCTACCTGTTACTGCTCTCTGAGCCTGCCTTAGCACTAAATAAAATCTGTGCTTTCATGTCCCTGCAAACAACAATCCCTTTACTCCACCTGTCTCAGTGTGTGCACACACAGACACCCTATGGTTGGTTACAACCCCTGTCTCTGCTCTCTCTACAGGCAATAAATAATCAAAAATGGTTAAAAATATTCTGCACAGGATGGTTGTGAACTAACATAATCCTCTTTGGGAGCCTCTGAGATCTTCCAAGGGTTTCTTTTGTAGAGCACATTAGTGTTGCAATCCATTATGCACAGGGACAGCAGTCTGGAGAGGAAATCATTTGGAAAATGGAAGGGACTCGAGTCCCAAACTATTTCTCATATGAAAGACCAGAAATATGGCATTTAAGGAATGCCAGGAGATATGAGCAACACCAGCATCCTCCTCATCAATATGCAATGAAGGAATTTCTCCTCCTTACATCTTTCTTGGTACCCAAGGTGACATCAGACATGTTCCCTCTGCCAAGAGAAAAGAGCCTTTCAAACGCCATCATCCTTCAAAGGCCACTGTCCCTTAAAGCCACACAAGTCACCCCCTTCCTCCTTTCCCTGTGGCTCCAGTGAGAGCTTGTGGCTGCACTAAGAAAATCAGAGCATTTCACGCTGTGATTATTCCACTGTGTCCATGATATTCACAGAGGAAAAAAAAATCTTGGAGTATCCAGCCATCCAAGGGGAAAACATTGGCTGCAGCTGAACTGTGTGGCATTGCTTTTTCTTGGGGAATAGCAGAGAAACCTCAGGACCATTAAAGAAATCCCTAATGGGCAGAAAGCTCAAGGTAGGCTAATAGCTGTGTTGACATTCACCCAGGAACGTTGTTTAATCCTTTTCTTCTGGGCTGCTGGTTCTCCTCTCAAAAACTCCCTCCCCCCACTGCTGTGGTGCAGGAAAACCCGAGGATTTCTGGAGTGTGGGGACCAGACTCCTGATTTGGGTCAATCTGAAAGAAGTGTGGCTTGGGGAGGGCAGTTTTGGTGCCCCCTTGGGCAGGTCCCAGGGCTGTGATGTGTTCAGAGTGACTCTGGGTGGAGCTTTCTGCTACAACGAGCAGTTTATCTGCACTGCAAGGAAAATGATGGAGGGATGGCACAACCCCGGGGTGAAGTGAATGAGGGGAAGCATATGAAAAACTGACAATAGCCAGGAACTACTTGCAGCAGCCACACTGAAAGAAACTGAGCTTTTAAGCTGTATTTTTTATTTTATTATGAATATTGTTGCTTTTTTTTTTTTTTTTCTGTTTCTGGTAGAAATCCAGCTGCTGCTGGATTTGTGGAACTGAAAATCCTGAGTTCTAGCTGACGAGTGAAAATATGATTTTTTCCCTCTTTCTCTCTCCCCAGGGCTCTGGCTGACATCTTAAGGCAGCAGGGACCAATCCCAATAGGACACTGTGAAAGAGAGACTATCTCAGCCATAGATACCTCTCCCAAAGAGAACACCCCAGTCAGGACCTCTTCCAAAAACCATTACACCCCAGTGCGCACCTCCAAGAGCAACCCAGGTAAGTGCTGCTCTCCTCTCTCTCTCCAGACCAACCAGGGG